TGTAATTCTGATTCAGCAGCAAGAAAATAAAATAGAAAAGCTGCAAAAATGCAGAAGCTTTTGATTACATAGATTAAGAAAACAGGGATAAAATTAGTTTTTTTCACTGAAGTTTGGTGAATGAGGAGAAAGGTGAGGAAAACTTGGCGATATTTAGCGTGGATTGATGCTATTCTATAGTACTTTGTTTTTAAATGAAATTTTAGAGATGCATATTACTTATGTGTCAGACAGTATTTAAAGTTGTAGAATTAATTGAAATTACACTGTGCTAAGTTGCATCTCCATTGAATTTCTTGTTTTCTAGTATAAAAAGTAAACATTGTTGCTTATATAAAAGTAAATATTGTTGCTTTAACTTCTTTTCTATCATATTAATCCTGGAAGATAATTTCAAATATAAGTATGTTTTCTTTAACAAGAGTGAGGTGATGCTATTGTGTGACTGCATATGTCAGTAACTTCTGTCACTAAGGAAAAAGGAGAGATGTTTTTGTTCAGATGAAGTAAAATGTGATGGTTTATCCAAAAGAACAAAAGATACCTTTCTGGCTGAAATATGGAAGTCAACATGAATGAGAACTTTGTGGAAACAGCTTTTATTTTGCATGACTATCACTAATTTTTCTATTTACTGCTAGCTTTAAAATAAATACAATGGAAAGTTTATCCTTGCTTCTACAGCAAAGAGAAGAAACCTCTCTCTAGCGAGTTATACTAATTAACTGCACTTGTTCTATGTTTGAAGAAGTTCTTAGTATTCTTTTCTGCATATTTGTGGGAAATACTGGAGAGGAAAAGGCTTCTCATTGATCATCTTCATTAAAGATTGCCATGCTTTTTTACTATACAAATTCATTCTGTTCATACAAACGTATGTGTGAGTGGGCATATTCCCTTTCTTAAAGGATTTGTATCTCTTCTGAACCTTGCATATGCAAGGCATACCTATTTTTGAAATTTTATTCAAAATAGTTCTGTGTATCTTATCCAACCATCTGAGTCATTTGCACTCTGTTGGTCTGCCTGCTGAACCAGATATTTATTTCTTGGCATAAAAAAAAAGTGTGGGGGTTCAAGCAATCTGCAGTTTAATAAATCACTAGGTTTTTGTTTGTTTCTTTAAAATATTTTTACAATTAATATTTTGCCTTTCTTTGGTTGGAGCTGCATGTTGTCAACAACCTTTGAAGTAAAAGGTACAGATAAAATCACCTTTTATTCAATATTAATGAAAGATGGTAATTTTAGAAAAGAAATTTTGAACTGAAGGTGGGGTTTGGTAGCAATTTATATGTAATGTACTGTTATATAATGTAATGAGCAAATATTTTTAATGTTAACAGCTTACAAAAAAATGCATATCGATCAGTATACATTAAAACAAATTATATAATCTGACCTGCTGTTGAAGAGAAATTACAGTGATAGGAGCCTGATGATGACTTAACATTAAGAATATTTAGGTGTATGTAAAGTGAAAAAAACTTGGAGCTTTTCTGGATTGTGGATGCATTGTGGTGAAAATTTATCCTTCACTGAGCCAGGGTTCTTAAAACTGTTCAGTATGTTTGGGACTGGAAACTCCTAGGGCAAGTTTTTTCCCTGTAACAATATCAAATCCATTGTGTTTGTTAATTTAATGTAAAAAACAAGTCATACAATAAATGTATCAAAAACAACATGAAAAATTGCTTGTTCTCAAGGACTGGTGTAGTGAAGCAGCTAACTTTCCAGGTAATGATGACTGACATGCTGCAGCCCAAGTTTTACGTGTGCTTTTTGCCCCCTTCTCTGGCAGTGATAATTCTTACTTCTCAGATGAATGCTGGAATTATGTAATTGTGTTCCTTCATGTCACTGCGCTGACAGAATTGTGAGAATGGTTTGGGGAAGTCAATTAAGGTGAAACAAATGGGACTGGACTTAGTAGATTTTTTTTGGCCTCACAGGGAGAAATACAGCTGATTTATTAGACATTTGTGCTGACCTTAACTACTGGAGAAGGAAATGTTAATAAGCAGGTAGCACCAAAATTTGTTCATAAAAGCATCTGTGTTTGACTGTGGCTTTAAAGCAGTGAGCTCTGATCTTGTCATCTCAGCAGCAGTTCAGGCTCCAAAACACACCTGCCCTGTGCCAGCTTTCTCTGAGTGACGAGCTTGTGTGTTGTGAGGTTAGAGCACAGAGATGCTTGCTCTGAAGTGTGTTCCAGTGCCAGGCAGTGGAACCTTGATGTGTGTGCTTTAGGTTGGAGCATTCTTGTTTGGACACACATGAACGGGGTCATGTGTGACCCTGTTCTCATTTTCATGTAGTTTGGGTATCCCTCTTCTGCTTTGGTTTCATCCTGTTACCAGGATGAGCATTTCAATTGCTCCCTTTCATTGCTTCATGAATATGTTTATATTCCTGTCTGCTCTTATTCAGGTAAATTAGTCAGTTGCTCTAGAGAATTAGAAAATTAAGAACCTGTAGTGTTTTCTATTTCCTAGGAAAATAAATGCAAGGTAAAAATTAAGTCAAATTAATTATAAGATAATGAGATATGCTTCTTTCCACAAAGAAGGAAAGATGGTTAGATTTTAATGAATTATTTGAACACTGCATTATGATGTCTATATGCCATGGTACCAGAAAACAGTTCTGTGCTATGGATAGTGTATGAATATGAGCTGTGGTACATCAAACTCAGCTGTAAGGTAGGCTAAACAGCAGCTGTGTAGAAAGAAGTAAGTCATACTCTGAGGGAACTGTGGCTGGATTCAACCAAGCATTATTTATGCTAAATGTTGCTCATGCAGTGATTTCCATAAAATCACCAACAAAACCAGAACTCAGGCTTTCTTTGTGTGCTGCTGAATCTTATTGTGAAACTCTAGTTTCAGTGGCACTCCTATTGAAGGAAATTAGTTTGAGATTAGGAGTCAAGACTGGCTTGGGGTTTGGAATTCACAGTTCTCCAGCTGAAGCCATCCTCAGCCAAGGCCCAGCTGGCTTTGCAGTCTGAGTCATGTACTGCACTTCTTAGATACACGTTTTCATTTACTGTTACTAGAATTTTTGACAGGGCTAGCTAATCTCTGTAATGAATCACAAATTATGGTTTGATTCCTGCATTACAGCACAAAATATTTGTTTTACATTAAGCAATATGATGATTTTGCATAAATGGTCTTTCTTTTCTCTCTTTCCACATGCTTTTCCTATTTTTGGTGCAATTGTTTTAAAACCAGCGCTGTTTTCCTCCAGATGCTGGAGGTTGGTTTGGAGAGATGTTTGGGTGGTTGGGTGAAAGGTGCAGCACTGAATTACCATGAGCAGAAGCCTCTAAGTACATTGGCACTCCAGAAGCATAGGGAACACTGCACCATAACGTTTGCACACAAAGGAACAGGGCCTAAATCTGCAGGTATGGAAATACAGGTATGGAAAAGAAACTGGAGAAAAAAAAAAAAAAGCTAAGAAGTGTTAATCTTATTTATTATTTATATAAAAACATATATAACACCATGTGTTTATATTTACAAATATAAACATGGTCATGAGGGGTACCACCCTCACTGATTGTCAAGAGTGGTGACAGGGCTGGAAGCCCTACTCATAGAGAGGTGGTGGTTCACATTTTCTTGGGTGTTTTCTGATTCACATTTTGAATTATAGCATTTCAGAAGTACTAAATCATGCACAGTAAAAACTGGAAGCCTTTCTGGTTTACAGATGTTATCTCAGAACACGGCTGCAATCCCAGTGACATCTTTCTGTGACTCTTGGAAGGGTCCTGAATTGTTTCTATTCTGGTAGCACACACTTCTGCCCATTTTATACTTATTGTTTTGCCTTTTGTCCTCTTGACTTTATCATTCTTGGATAGTATTGGTGAGCTCCGTTGTGCACACAGACTGGGGCTTCAGTCAGACTTGGCATCTTTGAATGCAAACACAGGGCAAGGGCACAAACAGATCAAATGCAGGTCTTAAAAGCTGGTATCTTGTGGGGGTAGGACATTTGCTCTGTCATTTGCAACTTCAGACGGCACTTGTCTCTTGGCCTGAGAATTTTGCTTCAACAGATATTCAACAAACCAGCACACGTCCCTCCGGCTCCGGATCGCTGGGGCCGGTCAGGACCAGGACCGGCGAGGGGACAAGGGGTAACGGCGTCGGGTCGCCGCTGTTCTCCCGCTCAGCCCTTCTTCGCTGGGGAGGGACGGGGTACGGCAGACCGGGTCGCCAGGGGGCTGGGACCGGAGCCTTCCTGCGGGGAAGGAGCTGGGGAAACCTGTCGTCGGCTCCGGGAGGTTCCTCCTGCCGGAGCTCTTTCCCCTCCGCTTCTGCGGTGCCATCCTCGGTTTCAGCTCTCTTTGGAGCCTTAGAGGCCGGGCTGCGACAGGCCAGCCGCTGTGCTACCGAGGGAAGCTTTGCAGTCCCTGCCGGCGCGACTCCCTCGCTAGGTTGAAAGGAAAGCCTTTGCCGGACGCTAACGTAAAATGAAGAGCAGGGAAGTCCACCCGGGAACCGCGGATGAAGGAAGGGACACGGGAGTCTGGCCCACGCTTGCCAACCTCTGCTACGAACTCTGCGCCTGGACTCGGCGGGCCGAGAGCGCCTGCAGGTCCGTGCGCTGGGCTGGCTTCGCATCGCTTCAGCCGCAAGTGCGCGTCAGGGCGCGGCGGAGCCCCGGCGAGCCAAGGTAAGGGGTGCGAGGGGCGAACTCCGAGGGCTCTTACCCCTCACATCATCTCTGACTCAGGCTTGTCTTGCCACCTGAAGCCCTTCGCAGCGTGACGAGGCATCCCTTTACAGGATGGGGGGATGGGGAGGGGCGCAAAGCCTGTGCCCACTCCATCCGCCCTCCCTGGGGGACGGCTTTAGGGCGAAATTATCAAGTAGGCTGTGTCTCTGCGTGTGTCCCCAAGGGGTAGAGCCTTGTGTGCGAAAGGGGTGGGGATGTGGCTCTTTCTAGCGGAGGTTTATTATTATTGGGTGGAGGAGCGGGGAGGGGGAGTTTGCAGAGCAGACAAAATGCGAAGCTCTCCCCGCAAGTGTTTGTGCAGGAGGCGGGTGGACGCAGTTCGTGAGAGACCGAGGTAGAGAACGGTGAGGGGGCGGCCAAAGTGGAGAGGGGTCAGCAGCAGCCAGAGCATGCTCTCCACGCAACAGTTCCCTGCCCTGCCTGCGGAGGAGGAGCGCTACCGGCAGGTCCTCTCCGCCAGCCGGGTAAGGCGAACCTCGGGGCGCTCCCCTCCTCGCGGGGGACCGCCTGGGGACCGCGGGCCGGGGGCCTGGGAGGGCGGCTGGCTCCGCCGCTCGGCGACCCCCGGGCTGCGGGGGGTGCAGCGTGCTCAGGGGACACCCTCGGCCGCAGCCGGCCCAGGGGCAATAATTCCCCTGCGCGGCGCACAGCCTGCGCTGCCGCCGTGGGGCTGAGCGGCTGGGTGCTCGGGCAAGCGGAGGAGGGGCAGTCCCCTTTCCGAGCCCGCCGAGCTGTTGTAGCGAGAGCGGACCCGCGGCTCGCAGGCAGGGACGGAGCCGTGTCCCCCGGAGGCGCGGCCTGGGGGACGGCCGGGAACAAGTGACCTGCTGTGCCCAACCTGCCGCGATGGGGCCGTCCCAGAGCGCTCCTGTGTCGAAACTTGTGGGGACGCGCCGGGGACGGACGCGTTCAGAGGCGCGGGCTGCAGGTGAGCCGCAGCCAACAAGCGCTCGTTGTCGATTTCTCAGGGAGAGCCGAGCGGCGCCCTCGCCCCGCTTTTCTCACCAAGCGAGGAAGATCAGCGGGGCTGCTGTGCCCCGTAAATGCTCTGCCGCTGGAAGGAGCGGGGAGGAGTTGGCCGAATCCGTCAACAGGTCCGGCCAGGATCTGCGGGAGCAAAGTTTAGGCTTAACCTCTGTCAGGGCTGTCACGGCAGCTCCATCGGCGACTGGACTCCCGGGGAGGCGATGCACCGTGACCCCGGCGCGGTAGTCGCTCCCCGGCATCAGCGGGAGCTGGCTTTATCCTTGCGTCGGTGCACGCTGCGGTTGGGTGGAAGGACTCCCACTCCCCTCCCACGGCTGTCCGGCGGGATGGTACCGCTAGCCATCGGGAGGTTATCCTGCACAGGGTCACAGAGGGGGCACTTCATCCTTACAGGGAAAGCCAGCCTGTGTGGTTGCAAGTGTCCGGGGAGCACAGCGCAGGTGTGGTGTGGGCAGTCTCGCAGCACACACCTCTGCGGAGGGATGAGGGGGTCTGCCGCCCTTAGGGGAGAGGCTGCATAAGAGGGGGCGAGAGGGAACTTGCAGGAGATGGCTGCTGCGCTAGTGCGAGCTTGCAGGGTGAGTCCCCTCAGCCTGCCCTTCCCTCCGCTAGCCGGGGCGCAGGTGCGCTGTCAGAGGTGCGGGGGCCGCAGCTGTACAGCGGGGAGACAACGGCGAGCGAGCGGGAGCGTCCGCGGGGAGGGACCGGCCAGGCCGCGCCGGAGTGCTGAGCCTGATGCGTGGCCCTTGTGGAGAGCGCGACGGAGCTTCTCGCGCTGTCACACCGACCGTACGCGACCGAAGTGGCACAGCAGGGCGTTCCACAAGTTTATAAACAAGGCAGTATACTTTAGTAGTATCATTGCTCCACTTGATTTAAATGCAGAGTCCTTTGATGCATTTCATGGCAGACAGTTAATTAACTTAATTTACTAGCAGTCTGGTTGAGATTATGAAACTCTGAAGTGAAATCAAATATCTAGAGCTTTTAATGCATTCACGGGATCTCTTGGGAAGTTTTGGCTTTCAGCAGTAAGAGTATGGTAGTGGATTTTTCCATATGGGTATGTACACCCTTCCTGTGTTCCTAAAAGATGGATCAGTCAGCAGGACTAAATTCTTTTGTTTGTTTTTGTAATGGATGCTCTAGTTGGAGATCTCTGTTATAAGCTTCTTGGCTGCTGTGGCACATGGATGAATGAATGTGTCACTGAGATAGTCCAAACAAAAAAAAAGTTGCAATACAAGAAATTAGAGAACTGCTCTGCCTGTGTCTCTATACAAGCTGGTGGCATCCCCAGAGGACCTTGGGCATCTAGGTTCTGTAGAAAGATGGGGACTCCTCCAGCTGAACAAGGGAATCCTAAACAATGTTTAAACCTCTTTTAGAAATGAAATGCTCATGACTTTGTTTCTCTCCGTCAAAGGCCATTTATGAATTACCCCGACAGGCAGACAGGTCTTTCTGCCTGTGGAGAAGCCTGGACCTCCAACCCCACATATAATCCTCACTCAGCATGCATTTTTAAGGAAGCCACTAGCGCTCATTTTCCTGGGAAAGCTCTCATGGTGGTGAGCCAGGCAGTACAGCACGCTTTCCCATGTTAGAGGAGTTTGCTTGTCCTTGTAGTATCTCATGAGGCCATCAGGACAAAATATTGTTTTTCCTGAGTCTTTTGGAGCTGGAACTATAAAATAGCTGGAACTATAAACTGAAGAAAACATTCACTTCCTTTCCACAAGTCTTAGCTGGCACTCAACTGTATGCAGATAACTTGAGTGTCCAGTGAATTAAAAGTATTGTATGTAGATGGTTGGAAATGTGTCATGATTGGAGGTGTTCTGTAAAATGTGCACAGGGCAATTTTATATATTCTGTTATTGTTTGGCTGTTAATTATGTATTCGATGATGTCTGCAGATACAAGTTAAACCAGGACTGTTAACTGTGCCAGTAATTATTTTAAAATGTGGGTTTACTTGAATGGAGGAATTGCCCTTTTTTAAATTTTTCTTTTCCTGCTAAGCTGATATACATGTTTAGGTCTCAGCACTCCGCTCCCTTGAGAAACATTACTGTTCTGGCTTTGTATTAAGCTCATGTATTGCTAGACACATAATTTCTTGTCATTAGACTCATAGCCAGACAGGGAATGTGTGCCGAGGCTGAGGTGGATAAGCACCTAGACAGAAATCTCATTTGTCAGAAGGAGAATGGTCCTTTCAAGTGAAGGTGAAACAGGCAAGGGAATTTTGGGATTGTTGTATCTGGCAAAGAAATCCAGCAGCTCCTGCTCAACTGCTCTAACCAACAAATGGTGAACTGTAAACAAACCCTTTGTTCACAAGCAGGAAGACAGCACTTCAGTGTGGCTAAGTGGTTGTTTGAGCTCTGTCAATCTTTGCCATGCTGAGGCCCAGCAGATTCAGTTCATTCCATTCCAGGAGACACAATATGAGCACTACTGGCTCTTCCTTAAGACCTGGGAGCTGTGCCTTTTCACCTGGACCAGGAGGCCCTGGGTACCAGGTCATCTGCTTTCAGGCTGAACAGATCATGCTGTTGGGCAGTTACGTACACTGGCACGGTCTCCTAGTGTGGTCAGGTTTTAAAAGATGGTGGTTATAGCAACATTGTGTGGGAAGAGTCCTGTCAGCATGTCAGATATCCTTAGCAAGTGCTTACAAGGCCAGCTGAATGTCTTGTTTCTGAATGCCGGCCAGGGTTTAGCAGGGGTGGATATCAGGCCACTTGCAGGGCAGTTTTAGACTTGCACATGCAGCTTAGGCCCTTTCAAATGTGGCTGCCAGACACCTCCTGATATTTAAATGCCTTCAGGATGAAGCAGCTAAGTAAGCAGCAGGGCTTGACGGGGGCAGTTTGATTACAGTTTGAAATACTGCTGCTTGAGTCTGTCCCAGTTTCTTTCCCTAACCGAAAAGAAATGGACCTCGTAAGTGGCAGGCTGGGTACATAGAGTTCTCCAGTGCCAGGAGAGAAGGGTAGGTGATAACCTGCTGTGAAGTGATGGATTGTCATAGGAGAAAGAAAGGTTAAATCCTCCTTGCAAAAGTCTTCAGACTCAGAGCAGTGACTGAAGACAGTATCCAGGTAGCTCAGCCTGACTATTCTCATTGCCTCTGAATTTTTATTTATCTTGGCCCTCCACAGTCAATTGCTGCCTTGTGAGCAGTGTCACCTACAGCTCTCCTGGGCCTCACTGGGTGCCAGGATGTGAGAGCCCCCCCTCACTTGTTGGGACTGCGGGGAGTGGGGTGGCCCTCACTCGCCGGGAGGCTGCATGAGTTAAAGTGGGGGCAAAGAGGGAAGGTACAGCGCCTGGGCCTTGTCCCTTTGGCTCTCGCGGCAGCAGCCCCCGTGTCCAGCGGGTTGTCCCCTCTCCCGGCCGCGGCCACCTTGCCCGGCTGTGCTGAGGGGTGAACGGGGACTGCTCCTGGGTGCCTCTCCCGGTCCGCAGCCCCGCGGCAGAATACGATGCCGATCGCATCCTTTCCCTCAGTCCCCCGCCCTCTATAAATAACTCTGGCTGAGCTGACCTGTCAGATTCCCCCGGCAGAGCGGATCCCCTGACCCGGGCCGCCTGCAGTGGAAAGTCTGAATGCAAAACATACCGTAGTAAAAATAGAGCTGCCGGGGAGCCCCGCCGGCAGGTCTCCGCGGCTCTCGGTGCCGCACCGGGCCCGGCTCCCGCTGTCCCCTGGACTCTCCCGTCAGCACTGAGAGCTCCCCCTGTTCCTAAATCTGTGTACACTTTAATGCCTCAGTGGTGAATGCTTTTCTTGCTGTCAGATGGAAGCATAATTAATTTTTGCTGTGGAACAGATAGTTCCAAGTAGCGTTTTTAATTCGTGCTTGCCTTTCTAACTAGCAAAGATGAAAGAAATACGAATAATGGTTAATATCCTAAATGTAAAAATAATGAGATGACTGTCAAGCAAGAGATTCTCATTTCAAAAAGAAGTGAGAATGTTGCTGCATCTGATGTCTGAATGAGATTCCATCCTGTGCCTACCTTGTGCAGACAGCTGCTCCCCTGAAGGGACAGATACTCCTCGGCTATGGTTTCAAGCCATTATAATGTAAAGCAGTGCTTGTAACTAAATTGTGCATATATTATTTCTGGTTGTTTTACCTGCAAAACTTGAATATCTGGAGGCTAAAGCCAGCAACAGGCACCAGAAAATGCTGTCGGATGCTGCTATGCCTTGTCCTTCTGGCTCACCCATGTCACAGTTGTTGGCCCTCAGTGCCCTTTGGGGCACAGCCGACTCTATGGGCGGTGGTGGCATGGCCTCGGCCCCCAGCCAAGTGCCACATGGCCACTTGCTCTCTCCCTACCCCATCCTGTGGGATGGGGGAGAAAATAGAGTGAGAAAGCTCGTGGGTCAGGATAAAGGCTGGGATATCCCCTCCTGATTACCATCATGGACAAAACAGACTCGAATGGAGTAAATTAG